ATAATAGGGAATTATATAAACCCTTACCCTTATAATAAAATGCAATATATATATATATATATATAGAAGATACTACAAAATGCCTATAGGTGAAAATGAACAGTGATTTCGTCTACCCTCATCACCATCCAAATTTCATTGTACGGTCACAGTTGTCCGGTAGTTTTTCAATTTTCATTTTATTTTACTGATAGGAATGATCTGAAATTTGGAGCGTGTGTACATCTTAGTGAGCCGTACCTAATAAAAATATTTAAAAAATAATTCACAAAATATAAATTGAGAAAAATACCCCAAAACATTTGTGGGATATTTTGATTAATTTATATTTTGTGAACTATGTTTTTTCATATTTTTATTATGTGCGCCTCACTAAGATGTATACATGCTCCAATTTTCAAATAATTTGGATTTGTAGAAAAAAAATGAAAATTGAAACACGACCAAAAACTGTGACCGTGTGATGAAGTTTGGATGATGATGAAGGTAGGTAAAATCACTGTTCATTTTTACCTATTGGTGTTACGAAGAGTTATATATACGAGCAATGAACCAATGTAACGGTTTTATCATAGCATAATGCAACGACATATCTAGAAAACCATGTTTGTAGTATTTGTATGACCCCAAATTTTGCACACACACTCTCTTCATCTCAATAATCAATTCCCCAAAAAAACGAAGTTCAGTTTGAACCCTAGATATGGTCAAAATGAGTCCCTTCCAAAAACAAATTTAGACCATTCATTTTGTGAATTTCAAGATCTTAGCCTTTATAAACTTAAAATCATTTTTTTATTTTTTAACATTGTTCATCTAATGATAATAAAGTCATCCAAAGAAATTGGAAGTGAAAAAAACCTTCTATGGCCTAGATCTAAACATCTCACCAAAATGAACGGCCTAAGTCTTTTTTTGTGATTGTTCATTAGAAAGCAAAGAGTGTATACTTCAAAATTTGGATCAAACAAATAGTCATAAGATGGTTTTTTAAGGTTGTTGCATCATATTACTATACAATGGTTGCATGATCATTGCCCTATATGATATGAGTATTTTTATATATATAAACCTATTTACCATAAGTTGGAGGCGAATAAGTTGGTATTAGAAGTATTAGATCAAATGTAAAATAGAAACAGCATGGTCCTTCAAATCCTAGACAAAGTTTTAGAAGGAAAAAGATAATCTTATATGGGGTGAATTACATAACGATGATAATTTTGGAAAATAACATAAACATACATAAATAGAAAGGCACTGGCACCTAAAATGTGAAAAAATAGGAGTTACTTTTGGAAGAAATGTATATAAGGTGTCAACCTTATTTTGTGAAAGTAAGGTCGAACTCAAAAATCGATACGAAAAGGTTGCTTTGACATAAAAAACCTTAAAATTGATCATCTCAACTTCAACATGTATAGATATATGTAAGAAAAAGGATTTTAAGTCTTAAAAGTAATGCATTTTCTAATACATTATCTATTTTAATTTATTTCCAAAATTTTTAAGTGTTGATAGATAGGCTCAATTTATACTATTTTTGTATCTAACTTTTATAAAAAGAGGCAAAAATATTTTTTACCCCATCATAATGGTTTTCAACACCAAAAATACATCTTTTAGCTAGATCTCAATGTGTGATTTACTTTGATTGTTCAAGATTGACACTTCCAACTCGAGCATTACCTTTTAAATTTTGAAAAGATGAATTGTACCTTAATTTCCTAAACAAAAATCTATGGGATTAATTAATGCCATGGGATTTGAGAGCGCACTCAAGGCTAAGCTGCTCTCTGCCACCCAGAAATGCATAAGTAGCTATAAATAGATTAATTTATTTATCTACACCTTTATCTATTAGAAAATGTTTATATAAGGTTGAAATCTTAAAATGTAGAATTTAAGTGCAACTCAAAAAACACTGTTTTAATGTTGGAAAACTCTCTAATTAATCATCTCGAGATGTATGAATATGAAAAAATAAAAATTTTAAGTCCTAAAAATAATTTATTAACAACATATTATTATCTGGACATATTATTATCTGGACGGTCTATTTTCAAGATTTTAAAATATTTATATATAAGTAATAATCATACGAGACTCTCCCACACCACCTCAAATGATCACCATTAAATTTGACACAAATCTCTAAAAAAGTTATCACAAGGGGGTGGGACTTAACTTTTTTTAAAGATATGTGCCAAATTTAATAGTAAACATTTGGTGTCCTTCATTTTATTTTATTCTAGAGATCTATATATTTTATTGATTTAAATTATTTTTAAAGTTTAACATTTTATAATTAAATATGCAAATAAGTTTTCGAGCTATCCTAATAACTTTTTTTACGCCAAAAGTACATTTATAATAAAATATGGAGGTGCGCCTTCTTTAAGTTTAGAACCTCATAAAAACCAAATCCTTATCTATTATTTGCTTTTATTTAGGCACGGAAATATCTTGGTTTCTGGTTTCCAGTTTCCACCGTCACGGCCACATCTTCCCCGGTGGAAGACAGAGAGAAAGCCTCCACCCATTGATCGAGGAGAGGGAGAAACACAGGTAAGGATACTTCAGCCATCTCTTGATTCCCCTTTTCTTGTAATTTCTTTCTTATTCATTGTCGAATATAAAAGGTTTGGGTTTTCTCTTGTTTAATAATTTGATGATAGAACAGCTATAAAGCTGCAATCAAATTGTGAGGAAGTTGTGCTTTTATGTTTCATGTCTTTTTCTCCCTGTTTCTCTCAGCATTGTTTTTTTTCATCTTCTTTTCTACCAATCGTTAGCAGATCGGATTGATAGGTTAAAGAGTGTGGTGTCTTTGTAGTTTGCAGGAGTCATAGGAAAGATGAATGTTAATTCTTGCTATTGGCCACACAAAATGCTCTTAAGTCTTAAAATATGGATGGATCTTCTCTCTCTCTCTTAAATCAAAGCTCTGATATACCAGTACCACGGCACCGAACCAAGCAAAAAATAATGAGTTAAATCTGTAATTGTTGTCCACTATTTATGATGTTTCCACTTGGTTTCTAGGGTTTCTTAGTTGTTGAATGTATCCATCGCAGAAATACTCTATCACTTTTTTGGGCCCAAACCTATATATCAATGAGTGCAAGTCAAGTCCTTGTAGTTAAACTTATTAACTCATGTGTGCAAGTTATAGTTCCTCCTCATCTCCTATTGGCATCTACGACTTGGGAAGGCTGGCAGGAGGAATGTCACTAAATAAAATAATAATAATAATAATAATAATAATAATAATAATAATGATGATGATGATGATGATGATGATGATTAATAATAATAATAATAATAATGATGATGATTAATAATAATAATAATAATAATGATGATGATGATGATTAATAATAATAATAATAATAATAATAATAATAATAATAATAATAATAATAATAATAATAATAATGAAAATAATAATAATAATAATAATAATAATGTTAGTAGTAATAATAATAGTAATACATGAATTAATGTGCTTGTGGACTGTGCAATGTTTCAACTTGTCATGGTGGCTATGTCATGAGTTCTATAATCCATTATGAGGTATTCGTTTCTATAAATTGCAAGCACCAATATATTTGCAAGGAGAACATCTGGTATATTGGTCATTACCTGGGATTTTGGTTTGGTATATCCATCTTTCACTAAGGTCTAAACATTTGATTAACGTTCATGAGGTGAAGAATGACATATTTTTTAGAATTCCTAATGCATTAAACCAGTGTTTTAAAATGTGTGATGCGGCTCGATGCAGACTAGATGCGAGTGCATCACCCTAATTCAGTCAATAAATGTAAAAAAATTCGAAAAAGATCTTAAAAGAATTAGATTAATGCATAAAAAAGAAATATGGAGGTGATTTATGTGATAGTAGGTATTTAATTTATTCATTAACTCCAAAAGTATTAGCTATCGAAGATTTTGTATCTATTATCCCTTAATAGATCATAGAAGACGTTAGAAAGTAGAAACTTGAAACTAACTTCATAAAACATTCAACAACCATAATCACAAATTTTCAACTGAAAACTTTAAAATTACGAAATACAAACTAAAAGTTTATGAAGATTAAAGAGTTCAAAAGTCAAGACAAATCATCATCATTTCTCAAGTTTTGAGATTCTAAATTTCAAATCTTAATAAAAAAAGTTATGTAGAGAGTCTCTGTGTGCATCATTGTTATCACTATCATCCTCGGCGGCCTCCACATATTGTTCTTCTTCCTCGGTCTCCTCTGAGTGAGACTTCTCCTCCTCCTCCTCCTCCTCGATCTGTAGAACTAATGTGCGATTGGACCCAGCTCTATTATTTTGTGCTCTAGTGTTAGGCTGTTCTTCCTCATTAGCCTATGGGCTAGCTTGACATCACACCAAGTGAGATCCTCACCCTCAAACACATGCTCTACTCGTGGATCCATGGTCCATTCACTTGTGCAATTACCATCAGGTTCATGTAGTTGAATTGGTTTGAGATCCATGCGCTTTTTGTACCTCTCCTTAAGCTGCTCATTATACCGCATATAAACCAAATCATTCAACTTCTTTTGCTCCGAGCTGTGGTAGAAAACAAGGAAATAAGCAAAATTAATAGTTGTTATTTTCTTGTTTCTACTTTTAATCTTATTAGATAAGTTAGATTTTAGAAAATTGAGTTTTGAATTCCAAGAAATGAGGATTAAGGACTTACATACTCAAATGCACTCCAATTGTGTTCGTAAGTAGATGAGCTACATATGAGACTCAACACTTAAATAGCGAGACATTGTAGATTTGGTGCCTCGCTTCCATATAATACCCATCATGTAGCTGTGTAACATTTTATAATTTGTTTATTTATATAAATGGAACTATACATTATTCAAGTTAAAATTGCAAAGCAAACAAATTCGAAATTAGAAAGGGTACTTTTGGCCTTTACCTGAATTTGTAGTGTCCCTGTTTCGAGTAACAGTCTCTCTCCCAAAGTTTCAAATGCTAACTTGAACTTGAACAATTCTTGATTTTGGATCTCATTTTGGATATCTTTGTCAAGGACCAACCTCTCTAGGACATCTAAGAACCCACCATTTATTACACAATTAAACTCAATGGAACCCACCATTTATTACACAATCAAACTCAATGGCTGGGTGCGTGTAGTGAAGAGATGAATTTAGAAAGTAACAAGCTGAATGGAGGTACCTGTGAAGTTGGTTGTCCCATCTCCTATCAATAATTCCACGCATAGCCTTGCATTTCTTTTCATCATCCTTTAAAGCATTTTTTATCTCTCATCTTTCTCTAGTCATTGCCTCATGTATGTAGCCCATAGCGGGCTTCAGTTCACCATTAACCAATCGAAGCACTTTCACTTAAGGGCTAGCCACCTCCAATGCATGATATATCTGATCCCACAAAGATGTAGTGAGAGTAATTTGTTCAACCTTTCTCCCATAGTTTGACCACTTACTTTTTCTCCATTGCTTTGAAGGCATTTATTTGCTTGCATAGGCTTTGAAGAGTGAGAAAAGATGTGGCAAATCTAGTGACACCCGGTCTCACTATATCTCTTTTCTTTGTAGAACTTCTCATCATGCTAAGGAGTATGATGTGATTATAAATAAATCCAACAACAAACATAACTTTTGAAATCACCCCACTAAATATGGATGTTGCACCCATTTCCTTAAGCATGCGACTAACACAATGAGCTGCGCAAGGAGTCCAAAACATATGCATCCTATTCAAAATAAAAAAATTGCTCGGTTTTCTCTCCAACAAATTCTACAATTTCATCCTTCAAGTCACATAAATATGTAGCATCATGTGACTTGTCTAATGCATCAATAGACTTAACAAAAAAGTACTTGTTGGACAGCTAACCAAAAAATTAATAAAGGCCCTTGACTTCCCATTGGACCATCCTTCACACATAATAGTTGCCCTACACTTCTCGCACCCTTCCCTTTGAGAAATCAAAATTTTATTAACATTGGATACATCATCCTTCAATAAGGGCTCCCTAATCTCATGTAATGTAGGAGGATTAAGCCCTGGGTCAAATTGCCCAATTTTCTGGACTATACATGCAAAACTATCAAAGGTTATAGTATTAAAAGGTATGCCGGCCTTGTAAAACCACTTTGCAATGTACTTACATACCTTCTTCCTTTCTTCTTTCTTGTATCAATTTTCAATTGTTGTTTGTTTTGTTTTTTCCCGCCTCTTCTGAACCACAATTTTGGGGTTAGGGGTGCAAAAAGTATCCATTGGCCCCTTAGAGAGATATTTTTTTTCCAACACTACTACTAATTTTTGTAACACTCTCTCTTGACATTGGAGTACCCCTTCACCTCATTCCAACTTCTGACATATCCTAATCATTTTCATTATCATCAAATAATGGAATTTCATCAATTAATTCTTTTCATTTCATTTTTGTCTTTTCTTTTTTGTTGTTTCAAGCTATCCATGTATTCTCTAATCCCCTTTTTGATATCTTCGGTAGCTCGTGGGAATGCTTTTACATTCCCAGAAATACTGGCTAAGTGTTTTTTTTGCCGAAAAGTTCTCCCCCCATATGAGTATTTCCACAAAGCATACAAATAACACAATTTCGGTCTTTTAGATTTTTTTAGTTTTGCATATTTCCAAGTCAGATCCTTGTTACTAGAAGATTGTGAAGAAGACATTGCCCCAAAAAAAAGTATTAGTGTAGTAGGAAAAAAACCTTACAAATTACTTGAAGAAAGTATTGATTTCGTCTCGCCCCCTTGATTTATTGTTAGAACTTTGCTAAAACTTCCTCAAATCATCCCCCAAATGAAACAAATCAGTAACCACAGATCCACCAAGATGAAAATCTAGAATTTCGAAAAAACAAATTTCCGCCACTCTTGTTTTTGATTGATTTAGGAAGTAAAGGCCACGGATGTGGCTGATTTTGGTAGTCTGGGGGGTTTAATACCCCTAAACCCTTTCCCTTTTTTTGGGGCTTAAAAAGACAAAAATACCCCTTTACAAGGGGCTATTTTTCACATCACATGCTGGCCGCATATGTGCCCTATGTGCTATGCGGCCGCATATGCGGTGGGATGCGGCGCATATGCAGATGTGGGGTCATGCGATGCTGTTGCCAACGCATCCCTCATTATGCAGCGATGCAGCCGGAATTTAAAACACTGCGTTAAACTAGTAAAAATTCCAACAAGCCTGAATCACAAAAGTCATAAAAACAATTGTTTCTCTTAGCAGGTCGAGGCCAAAATTTGTACAACAATTTTGGATTGAGAATTCTGTACTTCACAGGTTATCAAGCAAGTATTGGGGAATATCGAAGTTTCCGTGTGCAACTTTGCTGATTAAGGATTGTTGGTTCCTTGCAATTTGACTGCTCTCACCTCCACTGTTATTATCCACCACAGGTGTTTATTGATTGTTATTTAACTCAAGTCCATCCGATAAACAATTAGCTATGACCCTTAATCGGAGAGCTATGCTTAAGGTTTCCTCTGTCCTAACCCAAATTGGTGGTTCAAAATACAAATGGCAGCCGTCCTTGAATAACTGTAATATTGAAATCATGACCAGTCATACTCCTTCTTTCAAAGAACGATGTCGAAGTTCCTTGGAGGGTTCAAATCTTCTCAGATGCTTTTGTACTATATTCACAAGAAGTTTGGAGAGATCAGAGGATTCAGATGGTGAAGTTCTCACTGCACACTCAGATTCTGATACAGAAGGATCACAACTAGAACCATGCATGCAAGATATAGCCTTAATGCGTGATGTTGAGAAAATATCTGTTTTCTTATGTGGTTTTGGAAGTGATGGTCCCAGAGCTAGACCCATGCTTGAGCAGTGTGGGATAGAAGCTTCATCTGATTTGGTGATACGGGTTCTTTCTAAGTTCAGGAATGATTGGGCTGCGGCCTTTACCTTCTTCCTGTGGGCAGGGAAGCAACCAGGATACACCCACTCCATACGTGCATACCACACTATGATCTCTATTCTGGGGAAGATGCGGAGGTTCGATACAGCGTGGGCATTGGTAGACGAAATGAGGGGTCGACATAGTGGGACTAGCATGTCCATGGTGACTCCTCAAACCCTTTTGATAATGGTCAGAAAATATTGTGCTGCACATGATGTGGGGAATGCCATTAACACTTTCTATACTTTCAAAAAGTTCAAGTTTGAGGTAGGAATCAATGAGTTTCAAGATCTTTTGTCCGCTTTATGTAGGTACAAGAATGTGGAAGATGCTGAGCATTTGCTTTACTCCAATAAGGATACCTTCCCATTCGAGACGAAGAGCTTCAATATAATTCTCAATGGTTGGGGCAATATAGTGGGCAATCTTCGTGAGGCTAAGAGGACTTGGAGGGATATGTGTAACAAGGGTATACCTCAAGATGCTTTCTCTTATAATAGCATGATATCGTGCTATTCCAGGGCAGGAAACCTTAATGATGCTCTAAAACTATTTAATCAAATGAAGGATTTGGGTGTCGATCCAGATAGGAAGGTGTACAATGCAATGGCATTTGCCCTTGCTAAAGGAAACTGCACAAGAGAAGCCATCCATCTTGTGAAGACAATGGAGGAGAAAGGTTTCTCTCCTGATGCGGTAACATACAATTCATTGATTAAACCTCTCTGCAAGGCCCGCAAAATGCAAGATGCACGTGCCGTCTTTGATGCGATGTTGCAGAAGAGATTTTCCCCGTCTTTCAGGACCTTCCATGCTTTCTTTCGTGCACTTAGGAGTGAGGAAGAGGTGTTTGATCTCTTGGACACAATGAAGCGGATGGGTTGCTCCCCAACAACTGATACATATATAATGTTGATAAGGAAATTTTGCAGGTGGCGCCAGCATGAAAATGTCTTTAAGATTTGGAACGAGATGGGCACAAATGGGCCCTGCCCTGATCGAAGCTCATACATTGTGTTGACTCATGGTCTTTTTCTGAATGGTAGGGTGGATGACGCTTTCAAGTACTATGAAGAAATGAAGACTAAAGGGTTTGAACCAGAACCAAAGACTGATGAGATGTTTGGGGCTTGGGCTTCTGGTAAAGAAACCGTGCCTCCTCGAGTATTGGAACTTAAAAGTACAACACATGGTAAGAATAGTTATGGTAGACTATGTAGAGACTTTCTAAAACAACCAGAGGCAAGAAGGTTCACCAGAGAGAAGGGATTCCGTTTTCCGGAGTAGATAGATTCAAGCAGGAGTTGAAGTTTCTTGCTGCAATGGGATGCTCTAGTTGCTTTATCTTCTCCATCCAAATGGGTGGAAGATAATGCAACATCGGCCAATAAGATTGGCTTGTAGAAGTTGTTTTAAACTTTTACAAATTGTATCTCAATGTATCATGGTTTGAAATCCAGGACTGGGACTTTGTCGATGTATCATGGTTTGAAATCCAGGACTGGGACTTTGTCGATGTATCATGGTTTGAAATCCAGGACTGGGACTTAGTTGATTGACAAATAGGGTTGCGTTGCACTGTGGTTTGACGTTATGGTTCAAGCTTGTATTCTAAATAATTTAGAGAAGCATGAAATACTATAAGGTAACTGGCTTATGCTACAGTATAAGCTCATTGACCAAAACACAGCTACAGGGATTATTTTTGGGCTGAAAGTTTTGTGCAACATCTCTGATTCAATAAAGGAACAATTTCTGAAAGAAGTTAGATTTTTAAGTTATTCTTGAACACCTAGATCCATAGTTATCAAATGAACAGCTGATAGCCTGCATTCGCTGAAAAGGTGGACTCGTGTTGGGCCTTTTTTTTTTTTAAATTGTTATTGTTATTATTATTGTTGTTATTATAAATATTCTTCTTATTGTCATTATTATTATTATCAATTATTATTATTATTATTATTATTATTATTATTATTATTATTATTATTATTATTATTATTATTATTATTATTATTATTATTATTATTATTATGTTTTGATTGCTAGGATGAGATGGCCATGTCCAAAGTTTAGTGTCCAATATACTCTTTTTGGTTCAAACAGGCTAATGCTACATGATATGCCCGTGGGCTTATATAATTTTTTTCTTTTAATAAAAAAATTAGAAAATGTATTCTGTATACTTTAAAGAAAAGAAATACGGGACAAATAGTAGCTATAATAAAATCAGAAGAGAATTAAAGTAACTGAAAAATGGAAAATATAACTTTTCAACTTTTGATATAATTCCATTAAGCTGCTGATGGATTTAAGTTGATCTATGGGTGCACAACGGCGTTCATTTTAAGTCTGTTTCACAAGGACAAGCTAAATGAGCCACAGGCTGCCTTGGCTAGGTTAATAGGGTTTGAGACAAAACTTATGAAAGCTGGAAATTCACAAAACCATCAATTAGAAACTTGGAAACTCGGGCTGGGCTCGTGCTGTCACTCAGACCTGGCGGGGTTACTATATTATTTTTACATAGACTCTCCAATTCTTGTTGAGACTTGACATAAAAAAAAAAGATTCTTGTTGGGACTTGGCCTACTGAAATTGGGTGACTTGGGCTCAGGCCCCCTACCCCAGTTCCATACCTATCCCGAGTTTTTAATCGCTGTAAAAACTATATTGCCCACAAGGTTTTCTTTAGAAACTTACAACCAGCCTTTAGAAACTTGTGTATAAATCATGTCAATGAACAAACACCAACAACAATCATTTGCGACAATTAACTTCACAATAATAGCATAGGTTTCCTTGAAATCTGGATCATCACACTTCTACAAGCTGCTGTATCTGGAAATTGTAACATACTAAGGATGCGCTATGTCGCTTGGTAATATAGATATTTAATGTTCCTCATTACAAACTTCCGATTGAAAATTTATATCGCTTTCTGCTCAGTGTTCAATAATTTGTTGCCTCCCCACAATTTTGAAATAGATCACGTGTTGTACATTATATATAGGATGTTGTCATATAAGAAGAAAATTAAGGAAAACTTCAAGAGGATAACATAAGTAGAATTGGCTTGCAAATGAAAATTTTACAGCATCATACGGTTTCCATATTTCAGAAGTCGAGTCTTTTGAGATCATCTTTCCACCTTTTGTATGGAAACTGATTTGCATACGACAATTCTCTCACTAGCTCATACCTTTTTTGTTGGCTAGAATCTCTGTATATACCTGGTGAAAAACCGTGCTAAATAACTTATGAAAAACCTCCTACCAACCTTTCAGTGAGGATCCAGAAACGTACCGGGGTTTCTTATACTCATCCCAGTCAGCTGTCTTTATCTTATTATGGATCTCAATGGCATCGACTTGTGCTTGCAAATGTCCTATTTTCTAAATCATAAAATTCTTGGAGTACATTGAGGCATTCAAGCTTCTGAAACTAGAAATGTATCTAATCAACAATAATTTAATGCAATAAGGGTAACATGGTCTGTCTGATTGGATTCTTTCAGTCACGTTTTAGGTTTATGGAGTCCACAGATGCTGCTGTGAGTTTCTCAAGCACATATAGATGCCTGGGCAAACTGAAAAATATGGCCTTGAAAGTACACATGGATGTTTCTGAGTCCGTTGCGTGAAGTCTTTTATCCATTATTTTTTGGAGAAAGGGTTTTGAATTGGGTTGTTGTACCTTGAGATTCTATCTTATGTTCAGACACGTGCAAATATGCAGTGTTCGCCACTTGGAGACCATTTTCACCATATATTTGGAAGTACTTTTTTTGTGTTAGTTGTTTATTGCTGATTATGCAGTTTAAATCTACACTGTTGACGTTATTGTACTAAATTGTATTGTCTTTCAGGGGGGAAGAAAACTACAATTGGCTGTGATGAGTTCTCTCTGCCCTTTTGCTAATTTATCAAGGAGCAAGGATGTCTGTCCTAGAAAGATTGAGGAAAAACATTATGAACATCGAGTAAGGCAGTCTAATCAGGGGAACAAGGAAGAGTCTGAAGCTCCAAATACAGTATCACCAAAGTGTCCATTTGGATATGATTCCCATGCATTCAAGTTGGGGCCTCTCAGTTGTGTCATTTGCCGAGCTCTTCTTTTTGAGACGAGCAAATGCTTACCATGTTCCCATAAATATTGCAAGTGAGCAGCTCATATACTTTTTGCTCATTTGATGCAGTTTATTTCTTCTCTCACTGTTGGATATCCATGGTTTGAATACTATACAATGTTGACTTATTATGTGTGTCATCAGAGTATGCATTTCACGCTTTAAGGATTGTCCAATCTGTGGAGCTGACATAGAGAGGATTGAGCCTGACCCTGATCTCCAGGATGTTGTTGATCACTTTATTGAAGGTCATGCTAGGATTAAGAGGTCCACAGTTAATTCAGATATCAAGGGTGTAACAGAAAATGACCAAGTCAAGAGTGTAGTTTATGAGGATGTTTCTTTGGAAAGGGGTACTTTCTTGGTGCAACAAGCAATGAGAGTAAGTTGGGTTGGATCCTCATTTATTGAACTTTATGTTGATATTCATGACAGCCATCTATCAGACGTTTGTATTTTGGCCAACTGCCCTTATGTGGTTGAGTGATTGACATTCTTTTTATCGCAGGCATTTCAGGCCCAAAATTTGAAAAGTGCAGAGTCAAGGCTTAGTCTCTGCACAGAAGACATCCGGGATCAAATTGAAAGGTCTGGGTGTACGTCAGAGTTATGTTCACAACTTGGAGCAGTCCTTGGCATGCTCGGTGATTGCTGGTCTTTCTCTCACTAAATCAATAGATTTTTAGCTATGAATACACAAAATGCAACTTAACTTTCATGTTGGTGTAAACTTTCTATAATGATAGCCTGTGATTCATGCTGGTTCTGATATTATGTATAGTTTTGCATAGTTCTCAGGAACATTCTTAGAATTTGGAGCTTAATGTGAAAAACTGGGGGTCCGTGCCAGGCTTCAAGAATCCTAAACGTTTTTGGCTCGAGAAAGCTTATGGCATATTTTTAGTTTTGGTTTAATCATTGTTTCGAAAGGCGGACCCGCCTAGGCGTTTGGGCACCTGCTTAGGTGGGTGCCCAACGCCCAGCCTTGGGCGGCTGCCTCGGGCTTGCGCCCCGCCAAGGGGCGAAAATGCCTTGTTGAGGGGCATTTTTGGGGGTTATTTTAGAAAAATAAGAAGGAAAAAAAAGTGGGTTTTAGGTTCATTTCAAATCTAAACCCCATTAGAACCCATTTTAGAGAGAGAAATATTTTTTTTTTTTTTGCCGTTTTCATTGGATTGAAGGCTTTTCAAAGTTATAAGAAATCAATCTAAACATCACCCATTGCAATTAGATTTAGTTTTGGAGGTTTTAGAGGTCTATTAGAGGGTTTTTAGAAGATTTTGAGATTAGAAATATCGTAGAGGTGGAAGTTTGGAAATCGACCAATCAAAGTTAGCGAGAAATTTTATTTTTTAGATTGTTTGTATTAGTTTGAGATGTCTTCTTGGGAATCTAATAAAAGTAGTGATCTAGGTTGGAAATATGACTATAGCCCAAATTCTTTGGATAGAAATTGCATAAGATGCAATTAATGTGAAAAGGATACAAATGAGGGCATAAACCAATATAATAAACAATAACATCTTGTTGATATCAGGGGGGATGTTGTCCCATGTAAAAAAGTTCTTAATGCTATCAGAGGGGAGATAAAAAAATTATGAGTATTGTAAAAAAGATAAAAGAGGAGAGAGAGGCATCCCTAACAGAGCTGAGGTCTGGGGTTCGTGTTAATTTTGATGATGATGATGATGGTGATCAGGAGGGGTGTTGAGGTAGAACAAGTTGCTGTATACCAGACTAGGGGGAAAGGAAAGGGAGTTGTAATTGGTTCTGGGAGTGGGGGGCCTAAGAGGCCTCGGGTTAGAGGGCCTATGAATTGTTTTTTGCCCTAGCATGACCCTAAGGTTACGGGAGAGAAATAAGCAAACAACTATTGAGAATAGAATCAAGAAGGAAAAGAGAGATAGAATTCCACAGTACATTGCTAGAGGGTATGAGGTGGGCATTCCTTTCAATGCCGCTCGCCTCAACTCCGATGCATATGATGCAGATGCAGCTGAACTTGCTTGCTCTGATGGTGAGTGATGATTGAAGATTCTTTTGACTCAAAAGAGTCTTAAAGTCTATATTTCTTTCATTTTTGTGTTCCTCCTCTTGTTTGTGTATTGTGGTTTGTGAACTTTTAAGCTTTAACTATGTGTGGATTATGGATAATTGGATATGGAGTTATGGAGTATGGAGGAGTGTCCTTATGGATTATAGACATTTGATGTGCCCCCTAACTCTTATTTCTTATTTGGTTGATGATGAATTGAAGTCTTGCTAAGTTGCTATTTTGGATTATGGGCTAAAATATGTCTTAATTTAAAATGCATAGAATTATGGACTAAAATATGTCTCGATATGTATTTTTTTAGTTTTTACACAAAATCTAACCTTAAAACAACTTTTTATTCTACTAGGCCACTTAGGCTCTAGGCAGCCTGGGCCCCCATCCGCCTAGGCGCCACCCGGTGTTTTTCGAAACACTGGGTTTTATAATAGGGATTGTATACCATGAGACCATTTATCTTTGTTATAAGACTGTTACAGTTACTTATAGTCATTAGATGTCAAATTGAATGGCTTGGGGTGTGTCATGAAATTCGAGAAATTTTTTATTGAACTTTGAGTCTAGTAAATGATAATCTCATAACCACCCATTTTAAAATCTGACAGACTGTCCTGCATGGACATTTATCTTCTCTTGTACATTTCAGGAAGCGAAATAGGGTATTGAGTTGCTTGGTTTACTCACTGACTACATCGACTCATAGTTATGTACAACATATGTTGCATGAACGCTCTTAAGGGACCCTAATGTTCTTGGGTACGTACTCATTAGGTAGAAGGCAGCATTTCCCCACAAAATTGTGGCGGCATGTCTCTAATATTACAATGTCTCACTGTATTCCATTGTTCTTTGTGAACAAAGTAGTTTAGTCACTTATTTTATTCTTTATGTTCTATTAGTATTACCTAGAGGCGTATTTTAGTCTTTGACCCCAACTTGTACTTCTGAAAATGCTAATGGCGCCACACTGTCCTGGATTCCCCAAAGAACATCGGCTGGTGTTGACTTTTGTGACCCCATGAAAGAGAAAAAGGAGGGAGGAGAAGGGGGGGGGGGGGGGGATTGGGGGGAACCAGATCTAGAGAGGAGTAATTGGTTTGATCCAATAATATTTTCCAAATTAGATTTGTAGTCAGGTTTGGAGTAGCCCTTGACGTATATGTGTTATTGGCCCAAAAACCTGTTAGGTCTCTGGCTTGTAGTCAGGTTTGGAGTAGCCCTTGACGTATATGTGTTATTGGCCCAAAAACTTGTTAGGTCTCTGGCTTTGTCTGCAATAGTATGTGAAGTACTCTTGATTTCATGAAAAGTTCTAGTGTTTCTCTCCCCCCATATAGACCACACTAGTAGCTCCACACTGGCTAAATAAGACAAATTCTTGTTCTCCCTAAATTGGCAAGAGTTCCTAAGAGCCCATTCTGGATTTCGCACAAAACCCCTTGGGACAAGGTGGCCAATTGTCTTAGATTTAGAGCCAGCCAGCAGTGGCCCAAAACCTTTCCGGTTTGAAAAGATATGGTTCAACGACCCACAATGCATCGCTAATTCCCATTTGATGCTCCTTCATGGTTAATGGCTGGGCAGGTGTTAGCCTAGGGAGTAAATCACCAAGTATTAATTCAATTTTTTTTCGTTTCTTTATAAATTGCTGGAATATCTACATAGAATTGCCACAATACAATACAATACAAAATAAACCTACTACAGTCTAAGATCTTTTAAATCTTATTGCCAAGTAAACCATATTCAAAACTGACTTTGAACTCATGACTTTAGGAAATAAAAAAAGATTAACAACAAAATAAATAAGTAAACTAGGACGATTTATTCAACTTTTTCCCTAGGGTTACCTCCTTAGGACTTGGTGCCTGATCACATGAATGATGATACACCTGATTCTTAGATCCTGCTGAATCCACCAATCTAAACTAGGAAGCACCTCTGCAATACCCTTATCTGAATTCTATAGGGATGAGAGCATGGGTCACAATTAGGGTTTCTTAGATCCTTCTAAGACCTTGGGGCATGCCACTTAGTGGCACCACACCTAGCCTAGTCTAGGCTAGGCATATTCCCTTTCCCTCTTTGAATCTTGGGTGGTGAGTGCAACCCCAAAATCCTTATAGGGGGTGTTGTGCCACCTAGAGAGAGAGAGAGAGAGAGAGAGAGAGAGAGAGAGAGAGAGAGAGAGTAGTGTGTGTCGTCTACTTCGTGTATCGAGAGAGGAGGACGTACGAGGGTAGGGGGTACGGGTCGTTCGTTACTTAGTACGTACGTCCGTACGAA